TATACTCGAGTATATACAGTAATTGTGGTTCTCTGTCTATATAGGGATGCAATTTCAATGGATATGTAATGAGGACAGTGTTGCACCCTTTTTCCTCTTCTCAGACTTTCTCAGTCTGTTAAACATTCCATCATTACATCTGGACATTGGCAGGAATGGGATATACCTAGCTACTATTGGCTCCTTTGGGCTAGTGTAGGTATCTTTCCATTTGATCACCTACTGAAATTAGGACCTAAAAGGTGGATTATGTGATATCAGAGACTATGACTTTTCAAAATCATATTCCTCCCTTCCAGATTCCCTTCATAGTATGCCCACTGGTATAGCAGCTGTTGTGGAATGTTAGTGGCACTGGTGTACGTGCTTCCACCCATGCGTAAACTGCTGATATGGGTCTCAACATACCACAAAAGGTGTATGGTTTAGGTAGAAGGAAAATAATTATCCTGCCCCAGTCAGTGCCACACTTCTGGAGCAGGTTGGCAGGTTGTGCATGGGAATAGGGAGAAACGAGGTTGATTGAAATGCAGTATATTGGCAGGTCCTATTGGATGCCAGGCTGGTAACACCAGGACAGTTCTGCAACTTCAACTAGTGCTACCTATGATTTTCCCACACAGCTGCTGACATGTCATCCAGGGGAGATCATATGTATGGTATCTGTATCAGCAGATCAACGGTGTTGGCACTCACTGAATCTTTCTGCTTAATCAAATACTACTATTCCATGCATACAATCTGGCAGTATACTGCACTGGAGATCTCGAGGGAGAAAAACGAGAATATTGGAGGTGGGTAAGGGCTTTCCAATATACAGGAGAGCATTTTCTGCTTTACTGGGGCTTTCTCCAAGTGTCTGATCTATGAAAGACTGGTGCCTATATACATAGCTATAAGACCAGGAAAGTAAGAATGACATGCATTTTAAGAAAGCAACTTTAGTACTGGCTGTACCCTGAAAACAGCATCATATTTACCCTGAGTTAACTAAGGCAGTCTCTCTTAAACTTTTTTTTCCATATCTTCAGCAGTTGCCTCTTCTGGGATAAATATTAAAACACCTGGTTCTTCACTCTCCCACAGTATCTCACAGGAACCGTTTGACAGTGCCACACCCTTCATTATGTTATTGCCATGGACCAGGCGCTGTAGTTGATCTCTGGGGTGGATAAGGCCTTCCTAGCAAAGCAGAAAGATTTAACCATCCAGCATCCCTGCTCTCATCTTTGGTCAAACCCATATCCTCCCGCCGCCCCCACACAGCCACCTTATGTTAAGGCGGGAATTGGTGGATGCTTTCCTCTCTGGCAGGGAAATCTACCAATAACTTGTTCCAAAGTAAATCGACTCTAACTTGCTTTACAGTGATTTGTTAGGACCATGCAACATACCAGTCTTGTTAATGAGGCAAAGTAAAGACCGGCTATGTTGATGGAGAAAATTCTTGGTTCTCCTTCATGCAATGGAAGACAGCATGTTAAACTAACTGAGTGTATGCTATGCAATGACAAGAACATATGGAATAGATGTAGCATGTGTATTCCTGCCATTACTGTTTCTCAGAAGCTGTAGCACAGAAAAGCCGGGGATGCTTTCTATGTGTGGTGATTAGCATTGATAGAAAAGACAAGAGTGTGCTATTTATATCAATATAGATTATTTTTTCTCAATTCTGTTTCAAATTAATGACCTGAAGAAATCAGAAAAAAGATATACATGTAAACTGTTTAGCTAAACTTGAGCTTTAGCTAGACATCCCCATGTAAATTATTTAGTAAGGTATAGAAGGGGAAAAAGGGGGGAAAATCAGTGATACGTTACTTAGCTGTAAATGAGAACAAATTACTCTATGTGAAATATATCTAATTTTTACCAAGATCGGTCTTCAGATGTTTTAATACAACTGGTAACAGAAGGTTGGATAAATGAAATGACTAAAGGTTCCTTGAGGTAGGTGATGCTGCTGCAATCTTGAAATACATGTCCCATCCTCAAAAAGCAATTACTTGACCTGGCTGTTCTGGATAATCACTTTTCTATCTCCAACATTTCTTTATAGGCAAGATTGTAGATAAGGTTAGCCCAGCATTTAAAGAGCATTCTGGATGAAACAAATTATCTAGATCCCTGGATCCAGTCAGGATTCAGGTTTGGGAGCAAACTGGAAAGCTCCTTACTCATTTTTGTGGATGATCTGTGTCAGGACTCATGTAGTTCTCCCCAACGCCCAAGAAACTGGAGATTTCTTAGCAGTACTCAGTATCATTGATCATGGTGTCCTTTTGGACCATCTGCAAAGAAACAACCAATTTCATTGTATTTAAGTACAATGACAATAAAGATTATACTGATCTTGGTCACTATTCTACAGCAGCGTTGCTGCTTCTGGAGTGATTCTATTCTTCATTGGTTTAGGAAGGGAAGCTAAGGCCATCATTTGGCCCTTTTCACAATTCTTTTTCATCTATAAATTCACAGGAAGAGACCATCAACCTCTTAGTGCAATTTATTCCTTCTATATTGATGAAAGCCAGTAATATATATCATCTCAGGCTGACTAGGTGATGTGGTGGAAATCTTGATCTAGTACCTGCAGGTTGTGTGACCCTGGACAGTCTAAACCAATGGTTCCCAATGTGGGCCCTACATCCCATAGGGGGGCAATTTGATTTTAGTGGGAGCAATTTGAATCTTGTTTAAACCAAGTTAGTGACCTTTTAGGCTTCCTCCACATGAGTAGAGTTCACTTTTTGAGTAAAGTATGAATTATATGTCACAAGTTGGGGGGGGCATCAGGATTTTAGAGATGCTTCGGTGGGGCGTGGCCAAAAAAAGATTGGGAACCACTGGTCTAAACAAACTCAAACTGAATTCCAGGAAGATGGAGTTACTCTTGGTATAAATACTGTTAATAATAGAAATTATATGTTAATTGGAGTCAAAGAGCATCTATAAATTATTCTGGGAAAAACAGGTTCATGATTCTGCTTGGAAGAGGTCTAAAGAAATAGAAACTGTTTGAAACTGATTTCTTCTACCAACCACAGCAATATTTCTGATGTGATGTACAGTTAGTTCCATGAGAAACACACTTTGACTTACACCTCTTTGCAAAATTCATGTCTTCACGTATGTCACGAACTTCTTCTGTGACTCACCCAGGGAAAAACAAAAGTTGGTATGCACAAGTTTATTTGAGGAGGATTTGGGGCCATGATGCAAGGGCATTGCAGGAGAATGTGCAGTTGTTGTTTTTTCATCCTGCCACCACCAAGTTTCCTCACCAGAGGTCCAACTGTGGGAGATGTCTTCGGTGAAAATATTTCCCAGAAAACATGTTTCTTCCCTCTCTGACTTTGCTTTCTTGTCTCTCAAGTTGTGGTGGTGATCTAATAGCATTTTTCTCTCTGCATATTTTGGCAGCGCCCCACCTCCTGGCAGACCAAATTGTCTGAGGAAAGTGAAATGCCTGCATATTGTTAACCCTAGACGCGTGCCGATTGCAGAGAGAGACTCCTAAATACCCAGAGTGGCACTCGATTGCTGTTTTGTCTTCTTGGGCTTCTCCCGACCGAGGGAAATAAGGTTGGGGGGAAAGATGGAAAACCAGAGAGGGAGAGGAACGATCGGGCTTGCACGTTTCCAATGGCATTACGTGAACAAATAGAGAATCCGTCTGCCAGAATGGGCTTGTGTAACTTTGCAAATGTGCCAGAAACTTTGAAATCCCTCATCTCCTCCCCCTTTCCGCCCTTCCTCCAATTCTCTCCCTCTCTCCCACTACTTCATTCCAGACTTCAGCTAAAGCGAGGACGAGGCGAAGGCTGCTCCTCCTCCCCAAACCCATCTCCCTGCAAAAGAGAGCACTGGGAGGAAAAGAAAGAGAACGGCGGGGAGTCCCTCGCTTTGCGCAAAGTAAGTCGGAAGTCGGCAGCTGGGAAAAGAAAAAGAGGAAAGCCGCCAAGTGTTTCTTTTAACCTAACAGAATAAGAGAGTTGGAAAGGGACCTTTGAGCGAGCTCCCCTTCCCCAGTCCTGCAGCGTCGTCGAGTAGAGGTCCCGCTCGCTTGTGAGAGACCCACGCCGTCGCCATGCGTCTCCATTCCCGGACTCCGCTTCTCCTGGGCCTTGCCCAGTTGCAAGCGTGTTTCTTTTGGAGTTGCCTGCTGTGGCTGCCGGCGGATGGGATGCCACCGAGGAATCCGCCACCCCTTCCTCCCGCTGTGTGGAGGCAGCGGATTCAATGGGAGAACAACGGGCAGGTGTACCGCCTCCTTAGCGTCGGCTCCCAGTATCAACCCGCGCGGCGTAGGCTCAGCCCGGAGCCCGCGCAAGGCGGCCACGTTTTGCTCCTCAGGGGCAACGACACTGCTCCTCGCAGGGCGCCGGGAACCGCTACAGGCGGAGGCGCCACTGCCACCCGAAAACCGGAGGCGCAGTACTGGTTTCAAGCCGGCTACGAGCAATCATCCGACAGAAATGGCACGGGAAGGGGCCGAGGAGGACCGCAAGGGAACCCCGCGGAGAGCGCCACCGCCAGGACGGGCAATGGGACTGGCTTTTCTCTAAGCAATCTCCGGCAGCCGCCCCGCGGAGACGTCATGGTGGGCGATGACCCGTACAACCCATACAAGTATACGGACGACAACCCTTATTATAACTACCATGACACCTATGAGCGGCCCCGACAGAGAGGCCGCTACCGGCCGGGGTACGGCACCGGCTATTTTCAATACGGTAAGGGCGCGCATTTCAACCAGACACAACAGGCGACGGGGCAGGCTTGCCTTGCCTTGCGGTCGCCAGCAGCTTAAAAGGAACGGGGTGAAAAATTGCGCGTCTGTTCTAAGGAAGTTTTTAAATATTCTGCACGCAGATACCGAATTAGCCGTCAGAGTCTGTAACGGTGTCCCTCCAAAAAGCGAGCTCCTACCCCCACCCCCAGATCTAACCCAGCCGCGTGGCAAGTCCCTCCCTTCTCGGCAGCCTGCGGGATTTCACCTCGACCAGCCCCACAGCCTCCGATCACCATCTAGTTCCAAGTCTCGCCCGGTAGTCGGTCGGGATTTTGCGCTAAAATATAAGATGTTAAGAGTAAAGTAATGCAAAACATCAGGATGCTGGGGGCTAGAGAGAGGACTCATTCTAATAGAGCAGCAACTCTTCGGAAGTGGAATTTATAAGGGAGAAAAGTATTAATTATTAGGAGTGGATCATTTTCTTAGATGAATTCTAGTCCTTTTTGCATATACATTTATTAGAACTTAATCAGCTTGCCCTTGACTTTAAATGTGACTATTCCCTGGCAAGAAGAAAACTTTATAGGTATGCTGGTCAAGGATACTTGTATTATTTCAAGTGCTGCTATCTGGAAGGTTCAGCGATGGGACTGAACCAAACTTGAAAAGTAGAAATGTAGGTCTCCTAGATAACACTCAAATTCAAGATAGGCTGTTGTTGGCTTCATTTTGAGGCTCATGTTTTTGTTGTAATTTAGTTAATCTAGCCTACTTTGTTGATCAGAAAGGTGGGCAGTTCGAATCCCTACCGCCATGTAACTTGTCCCAGCTTCTGCCAACCTAGCAATTCGATAGCATATAAAAATGCAAGTAGAAAAATAGGAACCACCTTTGATAGGAACAGCGTTCCATGCGCCTTTGCCGTTTAGTCATACCAGCCACATGGTCACGGAGATGTCTTCGGACAGCACTCGCCCTTCAGCTTTGAAACGAAGATGAACACTGCCCCCTATAGTCAGGAACGAGGGGAGCCTTTACCTTTAGCTTACTGGATATTCACAGCCTTTTGTTTGAGAATATTGTTGCCTTAGACAACAAACATAATTTATTGTTCTGGACACATTTCTGGTATCTGGCAACTTATTGTTTTCCTCAGCTGGTGGCCTTATGAGGAAAATGCCTTTATGATACATAAGAAAAATATTTTACAGGATCATGTGGTATAATAGTTCCAATCTGGAAGACACATTTTATTTTAATGTTTCTTTTGATCGTCTGAAAAAGTTATTTTTGGTCTTAATAAATGACTGTGTACAGTATGGGGTTCCCATTTGTCACACCATGACTAGAAACTGCAGCTTTGGCTGCCTTTTCCAAGATTAAAATTTGTAGATGTTTTCTGGGCCTGATCTATTTTGTGTATATTTGTGTGTGATTTGATGCACTGCAGGGTTGCCAGATTTGGTGCCAGATCCTTATTACATCCAAGCAGCAACTTATGTCCAAAAGACGTCCATGTACAACCTGAGGTGTGCTGCTGAAGAGAATTGTCTAGCTAGGTAAGTACAGGGATGGCTTTGATTTCATATTCTCCTTTAATACCTGTTGGATGGAAAGATTATTGAATAAGTTGCAGGCTTTCCCTAAAGATTTTGGGGGAGTACAACTCCCAGTATCTCAATCTTTCACTATGTTGACTAACTATTACTCATTTACTGATATTACTATTCTAGTAATCCTTATATATTTGGAGAGCATTAGATTGAAGAAGGCCAAACTTTAGAATACAGGTTTATAAAAGAATTAACATTCTGAGGCACATATTGTTTGATCATTATTGTTTTGTGCCCAGGGTACATTATAAAATATTTTGAATTGCACTGGTAACTTAACAAGAGGGGAATAGACATGATTTCAGTAGAATTTAAGCAGTGGAGAAAATTCCTTTACTATTTCAATTCATAAAACATGCTGTTTTTATCAATGTCTGCTGAAAGCTTGATGACCAAGCTACATAAGGTTTCCATGGTTTGATTGTTTAAGAATTATTTTCTTACCAAGATCTGTTTTTCATTAACCCAGAGCTTTATTAATTTTTGAAAAGAAGGCCTTTATTGAGCACATTGCTGTGTACACAGCAGAAGAAAGTAATTTTAAAATTGCTGTTTGATTATTGTAATTTGCACTTATTTATCAGCTATCTCCCTACTCTAATCTGTTTTTTAACTCATTGCTTTTCAGCATCTAGATTAATTGATAATCAGATACCAAATAACAATCATTGCAGTTCATTTCATAATGAACCTGTGATCGAATGCATACATGTGGAAGTAAGTTACATTAAATGCAGTGGGGCTTTCATAAACATGCATTAGGCTAAAGCTATGATAATACATGATACTAGGAATCAGCAAAGCTTTCAGAGGGCCTTCAGACCGAAGCATGTCTTATGAATGAAGGTAAATATATGTGTCCCAGAATAATGTTGCAAGATGCAATCTAAGTCAGTCTCCAGGACCGACTTACTCTTCCAAGTTGATAATGGACTGTTGAGTTCTCAGGCTTCAATCATTTCACTGACTTTTTTGTCCCTGTTCACCCAATATTCATAGTAGCTGTGAAATTAAATGCATGTCCTTGCCCACTGCAGTGTGAGGCTACCAATGAGTTCAGGTCTCGTTGGTAGCCTCACATCGTAATGAACAATGAACATTCAATTTCGCAAGTACAATGATTGTTGGGTGAGCAGGGACAAAAATAGCCTGAGAAATGGATCCTTTGTCAGTCAATAGAAGTGCTGATCTACCACCAGCCTATCAGGTACAAAAGAGCCCAGGGTGCAGTGGCACAGAGAAACAAAAATGACTTAATAGACAGAATTAAACACCCCAAATGTGTAAAAGCCACACATAATCAGGAATACAATGCATAGGACACCGCAGTGTACTTATTCTGGAGAGAAAGAACTACCTTGATGACAGGCTCCAGCAGGAGCCCAAAGGCTTGGAAGAATAAATGTTTGGTCCCAGTGGCCAACATAGATTGGATCCTGCAAAGCACATCTATCTGAAACTTAGAAGTAGCTGTGCCCTATACAAGGTTTGTACTGCTAGTTTGAAAACTGTGTCTAGTTGTTTGCTGTTTAATCTGCAGAGACACACAACTGGTAAAGGTAATGTGTCTGTAGATAGCTACAGTTCCTAGACACATATGAGAAACACCAAGGACAGTTTCCAAAGGAGACAACAAGGTTTGAAAAGTTGTCACTGCTTAACCGCTAAAAAGCTTTAATTTGTGAAACACTGCTTTTGAATCCTTTGCACAGGCTTAATAATAGACAGACAGATGGACAGAAAAGAGATATTTAAAATTAAGCCCAATTGAACTGAATAAGACTTGCTTCCAATAGAGAAGTTGCAATCTAATTTATGAACAGAGCTCTAACAACCTACACATATTTGATTTATGTTTGTCCATAGCAATTGTAAAAGAATGCCCAATAACATTTAGAGCTAAGTTCCAAATATTTATTTTATAACTCAAACTAATTCAAAGCAATGTTAGTCTTGATTTGATTAATAGTATACTTGAGGCAGGTACTTTTTCTTGGATATAATTGTAAATCTATATGGATTTTATTTTCAATGGAAATGGAATTAAACTGCAGATAAAACTAGGAATATCATACGATTCAGCTATTTTTTTTGTTTTTCTTTTAATCAGAAAAATTATTGACAAAACAAATGAATTCTGCTGAAATAGATGGAGAAGAAAAAAGTGAAGGATCATGGGGGAGGGGGGTGTCAACAACAGAAATAATAGGAGAAGAATCTGTAGAAAAATTGGACTGGTTGCCCAATCTCTCCTTAAAAGCCTTCAGTATTGGAGCAATCACAAGTTCTGGAGGCTTAACTGTAAGGAAATGTTTCCTTAGTTCTTAATTCCATAATTTCTGAAAGAAACAGAAAACCAGAGTTGCTCAATGACTTTATTCAAAGGAAGAAAATTAGAAAAAAGTGTTCAAATGAATCTGTCCACCATAGCATTTGGCTGTGTTTTATGTAGAATGAAATAAAAATGGAAATATTTTATGGTCTTAACTTTATTTTTGAAATTATGAATACTGATATCGAAGAGATTGTTATACTGCTAAGAATAGTTCCACGTTTCCTGTAAATGAAAGTCTGATTCAACTAAAAAAATATCCATGTCTTTGTTATCTAGAAAGCATGAGAAACATCAATTAAATTGCACAATATTTTTCTAATGTAGACATTCCATAAAAATTGTTTAGCAGCTTTACACTCTTAAAAACAGTGGCTTTTCACTGGGTTGAATCCTTGTCAGTCATGCTTAAGGTGGACCATTGCAATTAATGGGATTTATGTTAGTCCTGATTAACTCCCCGCTGTTTTCACTGATGAAACCTGATGAATTCCAAGAGGATGTATTCAATTATATAACAATATAAATGTGACATTTTAAACTAAGATCTACTTGTTAAACAATTTCGGTCTTTTCATATGCATATTCTTGCAGCTCAGCTTACAGATCAGATGTTAGAGATTATGATAACCGAGTACTTCTGAGATTTCCACAGAGAGTGAAAAATCAAGGTACATCAGATTTCTTACCAAGCCGACCACGATACTCATGGGAATGGCACAGCTGTCATCAGTGAGTGAAGTGTTCAATATGGCACTTTTAAATTATGTTCATTTCTTATTTACTGCTTTTGTCTGTTCCACTCTTCTTGTTGTTGTGTGGAAAACATCAAAATAACTTGCCTGCGTATCACTTGTTGCACAGCTTCTTTTGTCTTTTCCTGGGTTGCACTATGTAAATTCAGGAAATTCCTGAAGAAATTGTCAATAGATTGGAATGATAACTCACCTATCTTCTCTGAATAACTATTTTCCTTTGATTTATAGCTCAATAAAGGAGTATTTTAGATATCAAAATGAATTGCTGAGTTTAATATATAAATGGTGCATAATTTGGGTGTAAAAATGACAATACTAGAATACTAAAAATAACTGTGGCACCAATAATCTTAATGTTTGCATAAACTTTAATGCTAACCAAATTTAATTGAAAAGAAAGAATAAATTACATTTAAATATTGTAATGGAGGCATTACTGGATAAAGGTATCTAATGTAGAGTCCTTTTCTTTCTGTGTAAATATGAATTATCTGCATGTAAAAATACTGCAAAGAAAATGGTTAACTTTATTTTTTATTATGAAAACACTAGCAAAAATCGGAATATAGCTTTTGAGCCTTACCAACCTTACCAATACTGCGATATTTAAAATTTGGGAAAATATTATTTTCCTTGTTGGCTTGTTGGCCCAAATTATTATTAAGATGTTGATTCCTGGTGTAATAAGTTAAAGTAACTTTGACTATTAATTTATTAACAGACATTACCATAGCATGGATGAATTCAGTCATTATGACTTACTTGAAGCAAGCTCACACAGTAGAGTAGCTGAAGGACACAAAGCAAGCTTTTGTCTTGAAGACACTTCTTGTGACTATGGATACTATAGGCGATTTGCATGTACAGCCCATACACAGGTAATGTATAATTATTAATACTACAATTTTAGATAGAATTTAGATTAATATCAGGTATCAATTTCTACTCACTACGAAACTTTGCATTACAAAGAAGTATATCATGGACAGTTTCATACCTTTTGAGTTAGTTTTAAAGTGCTTAATCTACCAGAAAATAGTTAATAGAATGAATGAAAACTAATGTTTAAATTCCTTTAAGTTCCTTTAGAAATGGTGAGTAACATCTTTCTAATCTATTGCCAGATAGAATAGTGTAAAATAGAACAATCCTCACTTTATGACTAGTAAACCGGCTGTCATGAATGGTTGTGCTGTTGCCCCCAAGATCACATGAGTATATGTTGGGTGGGTCAGCATTATGATTGGTCACAACATTCTGCGGTCACATGACTGGGATTTACAACATTGTTTGCTGGTTTCTGACATTTGCAGTTTCCGGCAAAAATCTCCTATTAAGATGAATGAGTTAACCATTGGCTACCAGCTACATTTGTTTTATGATCACTGTATTTGCTGAACAATGTCCACAAAAAAGGCTGGAAACTACTTCCAGTCATGAGTGCCCTAACCTATGACTATAATGTTTTATGACCATCATTCCAGGCTTAATTACAGTAATACAGTAAGTAAGGGACTACCAGTATCCTTAATAGAATAGTACAAAGAATGCTATCCACGAAGAGTTGCTCTGGTGATCTTAGTGTACGTTTTCTTAAAAATGAGCAACAGTTCCGGATAATCTTCTCTCAGAATAAAGAATGAAAATAAAAATCATAGGACTGCATAATTACTTAGCTGAGTGTTTTTCAACATCGGCAACTTAGGATGGGTGAACTTCAACTCCCAGAATTCCCCAGCCAGCATTAAAGTTGCTGAAATTCAGAAACACTGACTTAACTGGTAAACAGAGATAATTGATGATGGATGAAAGAAGTGCATTCAGAGGTGGGTTGCTCCCGGTTCAGCTGATCTCTTATGCTGTTGACGGCATGTTTCTGCACATGCGCAGAACAATAGTCAACTGCGCATGCACCAGCAACGCACGACCAGCACGCACGTACAACAAACCAGTACCGAGCAGTATAGAAACTCACCCCTGAGTGCATTGTACTCTGCACAAGAGCAGCTTTCTTTGTTTTTGCAATTTGTTTTAAGCAACTCAATTTTTTGAAACTTGAATTGAATTGAATTGAATTGCATTTATTATATTTCTATGCCGCCCTTTTCCCCGAAGGGGACTCAGGGCGGCTTACAACCGCCCAGGGGGGGGGGTACAAATAAGGAATAAAAAGACGTACAAGACAATACCATAATTTAAAAGCACACAGCAACCATACCATTC